CTCAGGACACAATTTGTGTATTTGCTTGTGCAAATAATGGTGAAACGGAAGATTTTACACCTAAAATCTAAATGAACTAAAATTCCTAAAGAAGTGCCTAATTTTATTGTTACTATATACAGTAGGGGTGTAACGGTACACGTATTCGTATTGAACATTTTTCGGTTCGATACGCATTTGTACCGAACAAATACAGCATTGTTTTAATCACTGCATGATGTACGCCGACCCACTGAGCTTCCGTCCTTAAGAACTTGTCCTATGCTTGGGGTTAGGGCGATCCAGCATAGGACTCTCTCACTCACTCACACACACATAAACACACACTCTCTCTCACACACTCACACACACATAAACACACACTCTCTCACACACACACTGTAAGCCCTGGACCACAAGATTTGGTGAGATTAGCTCAAGTTGTCCACATAGATAATGCACCAGGCAGGTATTTGGTGGAACAGAACTTAAATCTCTTTATTTCTCAATAAGGTGAGGGAGTGGGGATGGGGGAAAACTGTAACTAAAGCCTTTCTTCCTTCGGTGGTTGGTTCTTGGGGCAGCAGATCAATCTCCCTGAAGGGAAGACAGAAGAGGTGGAGGGTTAGTTAAAGTGTTCAGGCTACTCACGACCCACTGAGCTTCCGCCCTTAAGAACTTGTCCTGTGCTTGGGGTTAGGGCGATCCAGCATTCAGCATCTGCTCATCTCCCCGGCTGAGAGCCTACTGAGGCCTCTCGGTTCCCTTTTATGTGGTGGTGGCTGATTGTTCCTAACAGCCTGCAGCTGAGGCTCCCTGTTAGAGGATAAAAAGTGAACACCTGTGTTGGAGCTATCCCTGGTCCTGAACCCTCTTACTGGGTGGCCCAGCCCTTGTTGCTTCCTCTGATGGGGCTCTCCATGGTGCTGAAGGTGTTCAGTCTGCTTTGTGGGGGACCATACCTCTTTCTGGCCGCCACATACCCCCCTTTCCAGCTCCAGGCTCCCGCTTGGAGCACCCGTCCCACAGCAGTCATGTCTTCTGGACATTGCATCTGCAATCGCATGAGAATTTCCAGCCCTGTGTTCCACCTTAAATTGGAAGTCCTGCAACTGAAGAAACCAACGAGTGATTCGGCCATTTTTCCCTTTGTTTTGAGACATCCATTTGAGCGGGGCATGATCAGTTACCAAGCTAAATTTCCGCCCCAACAAGTAATATCTCAACTTCTCAACAGCCCATTTGATAGCAAGGCATTCTTTTTCTATCGTGGCATAGTTCTTCTCATGAGGAAGTAACTTACGGCTAATATACATGACTGGGTTTTCCATACCATCTTGTAGCTGGGACAGCACTGCTCCAACTCCTACCTCTGAGGCGTCTGTTTGTAACACAAAGGGTTCACTGAAGTTTGGGGCTTGCAGGATAGGTTCATAACAGAGGGCCTGCTTTAGGTCAGTGAAAGCCTGCTCTGCTCCCTTAGTCCATCTCACCTGCTTTGGGTGGCAGTTGCGGGTCAGTTCAGTTAAGGGTGCTGCTTTTGTGGCGAACATAGGAATGAAGGGTCGGTAATAACCTACTAGCCCAAGGAAGGTTCTCCTTCCCCCCTGGGGGGTCTCTGCTGGGGGAAATTCAGAGAACACTTCATGGGATTCTATGTCTTTGAGTACCTGCGCTCCTCCCAGGCCCTCTGAGGCAGTTGCTGTGGAGTCGGAACGTTCTTCCTCACCTCTATCCTCTGGGCTGGAGGCTTCTGCAGCAGTGGTCTCTTCAGGGGTTGGCGTAGGGTGGTGTTTGGACAAACGGCCCCTTCGGGGTTGGGGAGGTCTCTTCCCTTCTGCAGCTCGGTCTGTCCAGTAGGTAGCAAAGGCCGGGCAGTCTCTGCCAACCAGGACCGGGACGGGCAAGCACTCCACGACCCCTGCTCGTACTTGGAACTGGCCCCGAGGGGTAACCATGCTTACTTCAGCAGTGGGGTAGTTCCTAGTGTCCCCATGAATACAGGACACAGAAATCTCTCTACCCATGACCGGCCCTGCAAACTCTGGCCGGACTAGGGTCACCATGCTTCCAGAGTCGACAAGGGCTTCGGTGTCTCTGCCTCCAATCTTGACAGGGAACCTAGGAGCGGCTGCCCCCTCATGGGCCCAACAGGTGGTGAGAAAATGGCACTGGAGTCTTGAAGAGTCAGTGGCACTCGCCGTGGGCATGAGTTCCTCTCTGCCCGGGCAATCCCGGGCCAAGTGTCCTTCTCTTCCACATGTAAAACATCGAAACGCAACAAGATTCCGCAGAGGCCTCTCCTCCTTCCATCATCTTTAGTCATCTTAGTCAAATAATCTTGAGGCCTCCTTCCCTGGGCCTCTGTCCTTCGACAGAGTTCGGAGACTGCTGCGTTCAGGGTGGTTTGGGCCTGCAGAATGGCAGTCAGGGCGTCCTCCATTTTCTTGTGGTTTCTTGTCCGCCTAGTGGAAGGTCTGAATCACAAGCGAGGCTTCACCATTCCCGCATTCTCCACCATATGTACGCCGACCCACTGAGCTTCCGTCCTTCAGAACTTGTCCTGTGCTTGGGGTTAGGGCGATCCAGCATTCAGCATCTGCTCATCTCCCCGGCTGAGACCCTACTGAGGCCTCTTGGTTCCCTTTTATGTGGTGGTGGCTGATTGTTCCTAACAGCCTGCAGCTGAGGCTCCCTGTTAGAGGGTAAAAAGTGAACACCTGTGTTGGAGCTATCCCTGGTCCTGAACCCTCTTACTGGGTGGCCCAGCCCTTGTTGCTTCCTCTGATGGGGCTCTCCATGGTGCTGAAGGTGTTCCGTCTGCTTTGTGGGGGACCATACCTCTTTCTGGCCGCCACAATG